CGAACAGCTCTGCCACCAAGAACCCCAGACACGTCAACATCGATGATGCAACGCCGAAACAAACCTCACCTCCCACATTTTGTAATGGTCTTTCTCTCCCTCTCGTTGACACGACACCTACAATGAAGCCCGTTCTGAAGGGGTTCCACTGAGCAAGATGATAAAATCCAGGCGAGACTGTGCGGTAAATCAGAGCACAGGACAGCTGCAAAGTTGCTCATTCTCCCCTGTCTGCTGTCACTCCAATTATTTTTAGCTTTTATAGTTGCGTCGTAGGCAGCCCCCTGTGGCCATCAGCAAAGAGATAGATGTGTTGTTTTTTTTTGCCAAGCAAGTATTCTGAGGTTCTCCAGCCCCCAGATAACACGATTAGCTTCAGAATGGCTTTTTCTGTGTTAAATTTACTGCCACTATTCATGTTTTTTTCAATCATTTTGTTACGGGCAAATTAAGCTCATTAAGTCCTTGCTAAACATGCATGGATACGTCTGGCACAGAAAGGAATAATTTACTGGTTTGTGGTGGGAGGGAGGGGGGAGGAAAATTGGAACCAGTCTGTTCCGGGAACAGGAGGTTCCTAAAGGATGCAGGCGAAAGGCTCACTGTCTGAGCCTCTGATTTCCCTACCAGTGGACACCTGAACACAGGGGTGTCTGGGTATCATCTGCAGGCATCAGATCATCTCCATGATCCCATCTCCTCCCTTATCCCTGTGTTTGCATGCGGGGCGCAGTGGCAGCCTGATATGCTAATGATCCCCAGCCCCAGACTGTAATGTTGCACAAACTGCTCTCACTTCAAACAGCTTTGCAGAAAAACACTGGCAAAGCAATACTGTCTGTCAGAGGCAGGAGGAGATGTGCTGTTTTCTCCTACTCTAATAAAACAATTTATTTTCTAATTTATTCCTGCCTCCACCTTCACTTCGCGGCTCGCCTCTAAAGGAGACAAGGGGAGCACGACAGGCCGGAGAGTTGAATGGGGGTGGGTGTTGGGCAGTTGTGGGTATTTGTAAATGCCTGGAAGACAGGTATCTGTCTGCACTTTCACTGCTGCTCAGTGGCTGTTCCAGCAGGTAGACACACCCAGTACTGTGTCCTGTGTCTGTGGGGCGATAAAAACTGCGAGATTCAGGGGTGAACAGAACTTGTACCGAGCAAAAATGTGTTCATCCGAGTCCATTCTTACGGTGTCCCAGTTTCAATGGACGAGATGACACTTACCTCACATGTAATGGTTTCTGGGCTTCTGCTGTCACTCATCTCATATAGCGCCTTTTCATGGAGAGAACCTTCTTAAAGCTCTGTAACAAATCAGACTGCTCTGTGGCCTGGAATATTATAATAATAATAACTCCTTACACTTATATAGTAGCATTTCTGGACACTCCACTCAGAGCTCTTTACAGGTCATGGGGATCCCCTCCACCCCCACCAGTGTGCAGCCCC